ATATATTTATATATTTATATATTTATATATTTATATATTTATATATTTATATATTTATATATTTATATATTTATATATTTATATATTTATATATTTATATATTTATATATTTATATATTTATATACTTATATATTTATATATTTATATATTTAATATTGAAAAATATAGTGAAAATTCTTGATTTAAAGTTCTTATAAATAGATTATGATATTTTTAGTGAATTTAAACTAAAAAATAAAAGGTAGATATAGTTTTAGTTATATTATTTTTAATTTTATATTTTAATTTTAAATTAAAAAAAAAGTTTTTTACCCACCCGCAATCGCCCGCAAACGCAAACGCTAGCTGAAACCAGCTTTTGATTTTAAGAGGTTGGGAGCGGTTTGAAGCGATTTGTAGCGGTTTTTGTGATTGTTGCAAAACGCTAGCAACCGCCATCAACCGCAAAAGTTGCGTTTGCGGGTGGTAGTGGGGAAACCAGTCGGACCCTTACTTGGTGTTTTGTCCGCACTTGCGGGCTTAATAATTTTCTAATATCTATAAACAAATATAAACAAATATAATCAATTTAAGTAAATTATAATAAATTATTGTTCATACACTCAAAATATTTAATAATAATCTAAAGAAATTCTTTCTATGTATAAAATTTTTCATCATCATATAAATAATTGTCACTACAAATATTAAATGTGAAAATACTCATAAATTTAAAATATTTAGTAATAAATTAATATCATTTTAGACATAACAAAAAGTATAATAAAATTATCTTTAGTAATGTAAACTATCTATACATAAATTCTTTGCGAATTAATTTTTTCATAATTAAATATATATTAACAAATATAATTATTTTTCATGGTTAATAAAGACTTATAACACAATATAAAAAAATAGATAAGTATAATTATCAAATTCATGAAATTCGTTTTTAATTTAGAATTAATTATATATTAACAAATATAATTATTTTAAATTTAATTATTTTTCAATGTTGATAAAGACATAATATAAAAAATTAAATAAGGATGATTATCAAATAATTGAAATTCTTTTTTTAATTTATAATTAATGATATATTACTAAAAATATAATTATATTTCAAGGTTAAAAAAGATTTTATAATCTAATATAAAATAGTTTTAGATAAAGATAAAATCTAAAATCATTGAAATTCGTTTTTTACTTATATTTGATTATATATTAAAATTTTTAATTATTATATAGTAATAAATATTTTTTTGGTCAAATAGTAATAACTATTAGTCATTATATAGTAATAAATCTAATTAGTCATTAAATTTATGTTTGGTTTGTCATTAAGGGTAGTAAAAATCATAAGAACATGACAATTATATTTACTATCCTTAATGACAAAGCAAACAGAAACTTAATAACTAATTAGATTTATTAATATATCATGAATAATAGTTATTATAATCATTAGTCTAGATAATGATAATCATCAAATCATAAGAAACATGACAAATAAGATATGTTTCTAATTATTAAAAAGTAATAGATCTAATTAGTCATTATATATTAATAAATCTAATTAGTCATTAAGTTTATATTTGCTTTGTCATTAAGGGTAGTAAATCTGATTAATATACAGTTCATAGTTATATAATAATAATTTTAATTAGTCATTAATTAAGGGTAATAATTAATCATTAGTCAAAATCATAAAAATATGATAAATAAGTATAATTACATTAAATTATGGAGAATATGATAAATCAAAAAATTCACTTTTTAAATATAATTAATTTATTGTTACTTATATATTAATTCAGTTTTAGTTTATGGTTTATTGATATCAACTATTTTTAGATAATAATAGTCATCAAATCAGTGAAATTTGTTTCTAATTTGTGGTTGATTATATATGAATTACATATATTTTTCTGATAACAACACAATATATATAGGAATTATATTTTTATTTTATTTTATTTTATTTTTTGTATTAATATTTTATATATTTTTTTTAAATGTGCCCGTGCATGGGACGCTACTGTACTAATATAAATATATAGCGAGGTCAAGGATAAAGATATAATTACGTTTTGATTTGTGGGATCTATATTGATATCAAGTTTTGATTTCAGCGGAGCAGGATTCGATCAATCATGTCTTCTTCTGGTACTCCTGTTCAAGATAGCCAGCGGTTCATCATTGGGCAGATTGATTACTGGGATCAAGTGAGTGAATCAGGGGTAAATCTTCTTCTTCTTCTTATTCTTCAGTTTTATATGTGTGTTTTTCATTAGGAACCAACGTAAGTGAGACTTTTTTCTTAGGGTTTTGATATCGAGCATATCTCAGCACCTCAAAATGGACTCGTGTCTTTTGATTGTGAAAACGAGAGGATTAGGTATCCTAATAGATTGTTGGTGAATCTTTACGCTAGACTCGGTCTCCATCGTTACAACCTCACCAAGGTAAATAATAAGCTCAGTTTCTTTTCAATATTTTGATCAGTTTCTTTCTTAATTATGTATTATGATCATTTTGTATGCTAGGGAGCAAATTTAAAGTTCGACCACTTGAAGAAGTTCAACATGACTATGAATTGTATCTCCTCGTACCGCATCACTTTGGTTGCTTATGATCCATCAGCATCTTCACTGCTAACCTTTCTGGTTGGAGTCTCTGAGGAAGTATATGCTAGTTTGGATTTGATGGTCTTCATTGCTCGACCTCAAGCTGAACCTCGTCGCCAAGAACCAATTAGGCCAATTGGTAAAGAACGAACTAAATTCCTTCTCTCTTTCTTATAATTATTAATGTCTTGTATAAAAACTCTAACTTGTTTATTGTCAATGTATGTTGCAAAGCTTCCACCGTTGTTCCCTTGGATGCATGTGCATGTGATGACAGGGGATTACCTTTCTGGCCGACCGATTTTGCAGATACATCACGTTTCGACTTGGTATTCAATATCACTTCTTTCTTTTCTCACTTTAAAAATAAAATAAAAAATTATTGGCCTTTTGTTAGTCACTGACGGTTTATTGCTTTTGCAGCTGAAGGAATCAGAGTTACAAGGCAACGAATGGATTCGTCTATACTTGGAACTTGCTCTTTGTTCAAATGATAGGAATATTCCAGAAGTAAGTTTCTTCTTTTCATCCATATATAGCCAACAACGAATGAATGTTAGATAATGTTTCTGTGTTTTTTTGTTTTTGTTTTGCAGAGCCATGTATCACAGCTACAGATTGTGAGCGTTGCAATGGAAAAAACTATTGAGCATTTCACAAGAACCACGAATGCCACAAGTACCATTTTCTACATAAGGTTTAAAGGCTTGTCTGTGGCTCGGGTTGGTGAGGATGGTGAACATGTTGAGCGCAAAGTCATAATTAGAGAGTATGAGGATCTAACTACCGGAAACTTCACTCTCATGGGTGGGTTTGGGTTCTCGGTCGGTGAAGACACTAGTCATCGCCGTATGACTCGCCTTGGGACTGGGAGCATTGAAGAAATGTACGCTGAGAAGAAGAGGCTGCACCCTACGACTCCCCCATGTCCAGCCATCCCCATTGCTGATTACTGGAAAAGCTAGATCTTTGACCTCATCTACAGGTCTCTCTCTGCTATCGTGCTCGATAGTAATAATAATAGTGCTCGATAGTAATAATAATAACTTGAATCCTGTAATGAACCCTTTGGGTCCTTAAGTTTGAATTAATAAAACTTGTGTTACAAAAAAAAAAAAGAAGACTTTTGTGTTGTTTTTTTAAGACTATAATAATAATTTGAATCCTTATGTTGTATCTCGTGCTTGACTTTATCTGACAATGAGGGATTTGTAACTGCCTCGTGTCTTCGTTTTCTCATTCTTGAATCATTTTTCTTGTCACACTTGTCTCTATGAGATGGTTCATGAACTTAATATTTAGTTTCGTTCACACATGTCGGTTGTCTAATAACTACTAAGAATATAAAATTTCGTGTAGTGGCACGTTTCTTATGGATCTCACCTTGATATATGTAAATAATCGTTGATTTAATTATGGATCTCAATCTGCTCAACAAAGAAAAAGAAAAAAAAACACAAACTAAATTATACTAATAACAAAATCATTGGTTTAGTCCAACAAGAGAATGTTGTTTCTTGCAGAGATTCCGTTTAACAAAGTATCCTAGAGATTTGGCGACGGAGGCCTCAACCGCAACACCAGGTTCAGTGTGGTGATGGAAGTTGATTTGATTGAATGCACCGTTTAGGAAAAGGTCTCCTTCTGCCAATGCCCTGCATAGTCTCTTTTTGTCACCTGCTCAGATATATAGAGATCCCATGAGTTATATTTGTGGTTACAATTTGGCTAACAACATCGACAGTGAGAGTAAGACAAAAGACAAGAATGATCCAGTCCTTTGACTCTGAACCAGTCTTGTAAGAGTGTAAAGTAAAAGCACCTCTTTAGCAAAGCGGGGTGAGATATCTTTTTCATTGACTATTGATGGTGGGACTTGCACTGCCACCAATCGCCTACATTTCCCAGTGTGTGTAGTCATTGTTCCCTACACGGAAGTATCTTCCATTGCCAGCAGTGCCTGACAAGATGAAAAATATATATTGTTAAAGAAAATATAAACTGTAGATAGTATTCTTCTGAATGGAACATATTAGATGAAAATAAAGATATAAAAGTATTACATCAAAGATAACAAATGGGTTAAACCCTTCACTGAAACCTCCATCATTTGGATATCCACCACCACTAGCATTTTGCTCAAATGCTTCATGCCCGACCTGTAGACATTACAACAAACTTAGATCACATCTATAATCTTGTAATAACGAAATTCAAACATATAATATATTAAGAGGCCTATGTAAAAACAAATTTCAGTGACAAAAAAAAAGATGAAATAAATTTTAATCCTTATTTAAGAAGAAGCAAAATGCATTTGAAAGAATGTGAAAATGAAAAACCGGAGAAGAAATTAAGATATCAAATATATTTCATAGAAAGTGCTCTATGTTTGGTCTTAGTACTTAGAGCAACATTATTGGTGGTCCCTTAGCATTATCTCTTAGTGGGAAAATCCCTTAGCTTTTAACTAAAAATGTTAAGGGACATCCGTAAAGTCCCACAAATAAGGGACTTTACGGATGTCCCTTAGCGTTTTTAGTTAAAAGCTAATGGACTTTCCCGCTAAGGAACCACCGATAATGTTGCCCTTAAGATTTATGAATTGGTGGGTTCCGAGATTCTCTTATCCATGATGTAAGAAGAAACTAAAATAGTAAAAGAGTTGTCCAAACTTTTCTTGCCTTTAGATACATCAAATATAGACTGGTAAAACAAGAATGTAATCCATACAACTTTTATACTACAGTTGAGCAGTTTTTAAATCAAAGCCCAACATTTCAATTGCTATTGCCATGTATAAATGCAAGAACCCAAAAGAAGACTAATGAGCAAGTATTAACACCGGCGACCACCTCTACAATTAAGAGCACCAGAAGTAGAGGTAAGGACGCCAACAAGGGACGAAGATTTGGCAGCCAAACTTGATGCTCTAGCATAGCTAGCTCCACGTCCTGAACCAGAACGTGTGAAGAAAGCACCGTTTAGGAAAAGGTCTCCTTCTGATCTCCAATTCCAATGCTTCCACTGCCAGTGCCCTGCATAGTCTCTCTTTGTCACCTCTTTAGCAAACCGGTTTCTCGGAGCAAGATATCTGTTTCCTTGGCTATTGATGGTGGGACTAGCACTGCCACCAATTGCATACATCTCCCAGTGCGTGTAGTCATTGTTCACTACATGAAAGTATCCATGCCTACACCTACAATAAAAAAAATAAGGGTTCATCCTTGTAACGATTTAAGATGATAAATCATTTAAAGTATTGTAGGAACACACAAATTCTACAATATGGCAAATTAATAATTGTAAAGCAATCAATAAATATAAGATATTGATACAAAAATTTGAAAAAAAATAGGTTTGTAGAAAAGAGTTCCAACAAGTATGTATGTACCTTGGCATTCTCTGGATAAGACCTCTACCAAAATGGTTATAAGCAATAGTAACCTGCATCACCTTGTCCCTTGTGTAAGTATCACTATGTCCCAACAACATAACCTCGTTATGGTGCGTAAAATAATTGTTAGAGATAGTAATAGCAGTGGAAGCCATAACAGCATCAATAAGCCCATCAGCACAACTAGAAAGCGAGTTATGATCAATCCAAATATGACTAGACCCAAAGATCGAGATCCCATCACCATCAGCCATCGACCTCCATCCATAATGCGACGGTGAGCTTCTCACCATAGCGTTACCAGTAGGTTTACAATCATGTATATGTATCCCATGTATGATAATGTTCGTCACGTACTGTATCGTTATGCATGCACCATTAGCTATGTGTACGTTAACGCCACGTCCATCTATTGTCTTGAAACTGTTCATGATGAGTTCTTGCTTCAGCGTTATGACCATGTCGCGTTTGAATACGATCCAGAGAGGCTCTTCTTGGATCACGGCGTGACGGAGTGTGCCCGGTTTAGGGTTAACCGGGTTATCGTCGTTAGGGTTGCTTACTACGTAGTAACGTCCGTCTCTGCCGCCTATTGCGTTGCGTCCGAACCCGATTGCGCAGACGGCGAGGTGTTTTCGTCGGAGTTGCCATTTACGGTCACAACGCCAGCAGTCGTCGATGGGATTCCCGGTGGAGCATGAGAAGTAACCTAACTTTCTCCGCGCGGTATTGTTTCGAATGCTCCTGAACCAAATCAAAAACCGGTTTTTAGCGAACCAAAATTATCTTATTGTAACGAATTTAAATTAAATAAAATCGGGCCAATCATTTTTGGGTGGGCCATATAACATGAAACTATAAGATATCTGCGTCGGTGGGCACATTCATACATTTTTAATATATGATGTAAATAATGAATTAATAAGTTTCACATTATTGGTTTATTCTATAACGAGATAAGAGTGAAATTGTTGTTATTCTGAGTACTGTTATCAATGAAAGAACTGGGAAAACACTACACGAGGCATATGCATGTGCTTGTCGCAATTCACTGCTCCTAAAGATTAGGTGTTCGTTGGAACATTTACAAATGTTTTTTTTTTGTTTCAAAACAAAACAAAAACAATACATATGTTCTTCTGCAACAATGTGTCTAATAATTACATAAGATTTTCGCAAGCAATAAAATTTACTACATGTGTTTTTTTCTATTTGGTAAAATATTTTTTTGCAATGATTTAACTATATGATATGGTGCATAGCATTTAATGGGAAGATGGCACCCAAATCCAACTCAACTAAATGAGCTCATGTACATGATGTTTGATGTTTTGGTCCACCCACAGAACTAGGGAAGTCTGAAACGCTCAGTAAGAATAAGCATAAAGAATCATATTAACTACTAAAGTATTTTCCCACCGCCATTCTATCTTTCACTTCTCATATACATAGTTACATACTATATAGTTATCTCTAAATATATGGGGAAAAAACATAGGATTTCATTCGTTTTTTCCTGTGAATGGGAACCAAGAAAGTACTTTTTAATTTTTTCATCTGAAAATACTAAAACTAAAACTAATATAGTACAAAGCAAAATATAAAGTAAAAGACTGCATAAACCAAAAATCCGAAAATAAAAATAATTAACAGAACATTAAATTAATTCTAACATTTTTGAAAAAGTGTTCTAGGTAAAAACCGTTAACTTGCTCAAACATAAAAAAAAAAATCTTTATCTTTTGTATAAATGAAGAAATATATAAAGAAAAAAAAAAGATAAAGAGAAAGTAGGAAAAAGAATGGAATCGAGGTCTGGTTGTTTGCCCTCTGGATTGAACCCTTTGACCAGAATGTATAAAATTCTTACACAAGCACCATGTGAGCTCTGCTCCACATAAATACAAGTTACCTATTTTTGAATTTTTTTTAATTTTATTTCCTAATTATTTACTAAAGAAGATCACAGGAATCTATCCAGCCAGACGTCACGAGATGCTGGTCCTTTAAAGAGTTAAAGTTTAATTTATTGTTTTACCAACTACCCAATCGCAATAGGCGAATCATGTACTTACTGTTTAATTAGCAAACATGCATTATATCACTATTCTTATAAAATAAAATAAAAGATTAAGCAACAGAAAAACTCACATGTCCACCATGGCAGCTACTTCGTCTGGATTCTCAACTGCATGTTCATGCCATGTTTCATTAGACCTGAAACACAATTAATTAGTTTACTATATTAAAACAAAACTACAACTACTATCTCTAAACCCGAAATTAACATCACTATATCATAAAAGCAATATACTTATATACTAAACCTCGTTAATCACTACTTGTATTTAAGTGTTCGAGTGTTGCATTATTATAATCAACACACTATTGGTTGAGCAAACGGATCTGTTCATGGTCAATAGTAAGATCCAAAACTACAAGAATTTTGAGAAATATAATACAGTATCAAGTTATACTGATCGTTTTCCACCATAGATTTTGAGTTGCCTATGAGCCTCAATGCTCTGGTCTATGAACCAGATCACGTAAAACAGTTGACTCCAAACTGAGCTAAGAAATTTAGTATAATGACTAATGAGTAATCTAATCGATGATACCTCGTGGAAGCAACGCCAGCGAAGAGCATTGATAGGAGTAATGCAGAAGCAAAGAAGACAAGAACTTGCGTGGTAGCCATTGTTTATACTCTGCTCTGTGGTGTTTCTTTGTCTCTGTTCGAGCCAGAGGCTTTTGTCGGTCTATTCTGTTGGAAGAAGAAGAAAAGGTAGGAGAAGAAATATGAAAAGAGTTTAAGAATGGCTCTAGTGGGAGGAGTTATTATATAAGAAAAAATCGTGCGTGACATGGCTTAATTAATTATTTAGAACATAAAACTCAAAATAGCTGGATAATGACATTATATTTTCACCATAGTGTTAAAGAGTTATTGTTTCACATTTTTAACACCCAAGGTTGAAAATGTAGGTGATACGACAAGAGACAAACTATACAAACAAGAAGATAGGTTGTACAAACTCGTTTTTCAATAAAAGCTGCAATTCTATTGAGAATCAATGCTACATATGCATATGCAAGCATTTCACATTTTTCATATCCTGTACTTGCTAAGAAAACAATATATGTTTCACATAACATACATATCAGAATTAAACAACATGTATAGTTCTATTGTCAGAAATACAAACATATTAAAAGATTTACTGGTTTATACTTCACAAAATTTAAATGATGGGTATAAAACTCTGCAATTAGAGTTCAGATGTTGGGACATATTTAATAATAATAATAAAAAAGCTGTTAAACTAACTAATTGTTTAGAACTATAGGTACATTGAATTTGTGGTATTAATGATGTGATTTATTAAAAATCACGATTTTTACACCAGAACTTCTAAAATTTGATTATACTTATAATTACGGATAACCGACTTTTTTGTTTTGTTTAATGCCTAATCTTATCCAAATTTTTACTGAACAAAACAAATCTCACTTTTTTCTACTTTGCATCTTTCATCTCCAACTGCTACTTTTAATTTTCTCACTCGGCATCTCTCTCTCTCTCTCTCTATCACGTGTGGTACCAGGTGGCTCACGTGCCGAGCGGCTGGTCATTCCGTCACGTTCTTCTCATAAAGTCTCCACGTCATTGTTTAACATGTAATAAATGTATATATCTGTTCGTCGGCGGCGAATGTCCGGAAAACACGCCGGTGATTAGCTCAATGTGGCAGATTACACAAACTAGCCAATCAGTTGCGTGTTTTACCTCGAAGACCCAATCACCATCGTTTGTATTTATTTTCTAACGTTTTTAAAAGAACATGTTAAAATTCGGCCACAGTTTAGTATAATGCCAAGAAAGAAAAAGTGCAATTAGAAGGAAAAGTTATGATCAACAGCTAAAATATTATTTGTCACACTTAGTATTTTATTCACATAAATGGTTTATATATTGTAAGTGTATATTATATATATTTATTAAAATTCTGGTTGTCGACAAAGAAATTAAAACAATTGAAACTAGGCTAAACAACTTTATTAAAAAGATCGAAAATAATATTTATTTTGCACTAAATCTATCTACGATAAATAGGTTTATATGTACTGTTTTATTTCACGACATTATGGTGAATGGTTAGTGGCACCACTTGAAAGATCTTCAGAAAAATATAGTAAATGTTTCAAAAAAAATAATTACAGTAGACATCAATATGCTAAAAATGGTTTCTTCTGTTGGTCAAACTTTCATAACTGAACTGATGTAGAAGCATCGAAAACATCTAATTCACTATTGGACCAAACGGACTTCTATATTTGCTATTATACAGGAATTGCACAATGGTGTAAAAGGTATAATTATTATGTGAAGTCCAATATCCATTATGGTCCACGCAGAAAATTTGGATGCCCGAAAAGCTTTCTATCGTGTGTCGGCAAAATGTGATTTGGATGTATAGATTGTAAATTTTACGTACGTTTGAATATCTATGTCTGTATATTATAATTTCAGTTTATCATTCAATAAATCTAAGATATAAAATTATTTAGAATTTATAAAATATTTTAGTTATTGTAAATATTGATATGTTCATGAATCTCCAGAAATATATGTGTTACTTAAGTATGTAACTTCCTACTGATTATTGCTTTATTTTCTACTATATTTTAAAGAAACATATAACTTGATAAATATTATGAAAATACATGCACATTTAAATGATAAATAATATTACTTTAATTTGATTTATTTTGTGAAATTTATATATATGCATGAGACTTCAAAGATTATCTTTATATCGATTGATGTAATTTGAAATCAAAATTATTTTATATTTCATTATAGGCATAATATATCTTAAGTTATAAATAACTTTTCTAAAATATATTGACATCTGAGACANCTATAAAATAATAAAATTGACTAGATATAATATTTCTAAAATAATATGTCTAATTAAAGTAAAATAATATTATTAATATAAATCATGTATGCAAATTATAAATTAATTGAAAATTAAAAGTAAATAGTAATCAATTATTATAGTATATTTACTTAATAAATATTTATACCCGTGCATGAGCACGGGAAAATCACCTAGTGTATTATAAAAATGAAAAGTGACGTTTATGCACAGTATGTCATTTTCTGGTGTATATATATAATTAAGATTAAAAATTTAATGTATAAAATTAATTTTGAAAAGAAGTAAAATTCTTTGGGATTATTTGTCAAATAACCAAGAAAAAAATTGTACGAAAGAAAATAGAGAGATATGGGATGAAGATAGGAACGAAAGAATGATTTTAGTTAGTTAATGTATTTTGATTATTTTTAAAATATTAGCGTATGTAATTTCCCAAATTAGAATGGGAAATATATTTTTATAATTTTTTTTTTTTTTTGTAAAAAGTGTTCAGGTTCAGAAGTTTGGAAATCAGTAAGGAAACATGAAATTCAATGGCACTGGCCAAGTTTTTGCTTCATTTTGGTGATAGAATTTTGGATGGTCTATTAATATATATCGAAGCCATAAATTTGGACCGAAATAGTTATAGCAGAAACATAACGAAATGCATGATTATATTTATATATAGATTATCGCTATCCTTAACAAGTTTTTAACAAATTTAACGTAACTTTTTTTTTGCGAAAGAATTTTAACTAACTTAGCACATGAACATATTGGTGTAGGTATTTTCTTTTGAACTTTAACATTAACTAGATCTCGACCCGCACAACTGTGCGGGTATTTTAATACGAAAATATTTGAAATTATATAATACTCACTCCATTTTAAATAGATAATGTTTTATAAGATTTATTTTATTTCAAAATATAAGATGTTTTGAGATTTTAAGGTATATTTTGAGGTTTTAAAGTTATCTTTAACTTTATTGGAAACTATTCAACCGATAAAATTTTACTCTTTTTAATAATTTGTTGAATGATTATAAAATTATATCTTTAAAAATACTTTTGTAAAAGAATGTAAATTTCTTAATTTTTGTGTTATGATCCAAAATATCATATACTAAGTAATGGAGGGAGTAAAATTTATCAATAAATAAATATAATTTGATTGTATATACTATCCAATTTATAATAATATTTATGTAGCTTATAATATTATTAATTTAAAATTTATAAATTTGTATTTTTGTAACAATTTTTAAAAATATTATTATGTAACATTACTAATTTATATATTTTATTTTATTTCTAAATTTAAAANAAATTGGACCTACATAATACATAAACAAAATTTTGGGTTATTGTTAAAAGTATATTACATAATTTTAATTTTTTCTTAAAAAAATGAATTAAATAAATTATATTCTATGATAATTAAATTTTTAATCAAATAATTTTTGAAACTATATCTTGAAAAGATTCTATAAGATTTTTTAAAGATTTTGTTAGACTTGTCTTAAAATTATTTATTTGTATTTCAAATAAAATTTAAAGATATGAAAAGATATCATAATGATGTTCTGTTATATAAAATTTCTAAGGGTGATCCGAACTTAAAAATCACACATGAAGTGAGTTATGACTTCTCTTTTAATATAATAGATGTAGGTTTTTCAGAGTAAGTCTAGATTTTCTTAAATTTGACCAAATTACGAAGTACTAGGTTACAGTTTTTTTATGGCAAAGACCCTACTAGATTTTAATTAGCTAGCGGCGAGTATTATTTATCATATCCCTAATAGTTTCTTACAGATTGTTAAAAATATACTACAATTTAATCATCAGTAAGTTCCAATTTACGCCCATACAGTTAATTTGATTCATAGATTTGCACATGCTGGACAATGGACAGTGATTAAGCTTCCAGACCGATCAACATTAATAAAGAAATACAATAGTATTAATGTTCAATGCTATTATGAAAACAATAATGAGTTATGTCATGTGAAAAGCACTCGTTTTTCATCATCTTGTACTCCATATAACATTTTGTGATTTTTTTTTTCATTCAATAGTAAATTACTGGATAATTATAATAATTAACAGCTAAAGTCATGAAATTACAGGTATAACATTTTGTGATTTTTTTTTCATTCAATAGTAAAGTACTGGATAATAATAATAATTAACAGCTAAAATCATGAAATTACAGGTACAACATTGTCAGTGTCCACATGAAAATATTATCTTCAATTAAATGCCGATGAGCTATTAAGCTTCTCCACATGGGCATTATAATCATATACATCCACGTTAGGGTGATCGATTCTCATGCAGAGTCAGAAACATATATGCGACTAGAAGTCTAGAAGTGTGTCATGTTTGAGAATATCAATGTACTCTGTGAAATGTTGGCACATTGTCTTTTTTATTTTTTTGCATAATGTGGGCACATTTTTTCAGTCGATATTTTTTCCCTGATCTAACAATAAACCCTTAGATTACAAATGGAGGGAGAGATCAAGACACTGATCTTTACAGTTCTCACTAGTCACCACGTTGTTGTTATGATCCAAAACTTGAACACGTTGTTGACCATAATACTCTCCTTTGCCATACTTACTTTGGTGGGATGTAGCCAACGCTACATGAGCACCATTGGATGATCTGAAGATTGGATGAGAAGGAAAGCAGCCAAGGGAGGTAGAAGATGGGTAGCTTAAGATGGCCAAGTGGTGTGGAGAAGGAGAAAATAAGAATAGAGGTAACGTGTGAAGAAAGTCATTGTTGTTGACGAAATCGTAAGCTCTTTTGGCTCTTCTTGCAGCGGTTCTCTCCTTCTTGTGGGCGTTCTGGTGGCCTCCTAGGGCTTGAGAACTCTGGAACTTTCTAGAACAAAAGAGGCAGGAGAATACTCTTAAAGACATGTCTTCGTCTCTCGTGTTCTCGTCTTCTTCTACTTGATGGTGATGAAAATGATGATCATCTTCCATTTTGTGTTATCTATACAGATCAAAAAGGGTATTAAACATAATATTAACTAATTTAACTTCCCATGAGTGTCAAAACAACATGGAGAGTCAACCCTAAACGGAGAAGTAATGAAAATGATATTATATACCTTGAGAGGTGAAGACTAAGAGAGAGAGAGGGAATGTGTGTGTGTTGTGGACTTGAGAAGATGAGCTTAAAAGGGCAATTGAGAAGAAGAGAAGTCAAGTTAAGATGGTGTTTGAAGAGAGTTGGAAAATATGATGAATCTGAATCTGTGAGTGGATTCATTAGTGATGTTACTATTAAGTGTTCTGTTCTTTTTGCAGAGCCAACTTTGGGAGCAGGTTCTTTTACCTGTATGGGCCTTGGGAACAGAGGAGATAAGAGAGAGTCAGAGATTAAGGGAATGGTGCATGGTGCATGTTGATAAGAAGAAGAATGATTGGGGAGAAAGAAATAGACTTTTGAATTGGGAAATGGAACTTCTTTTTCCTCTGTCTTGAGATTAGCAGTTTTGCTTCCTCTTGCTTGGCATAATCAGAAACTTCCTAGTTGACCATACCTTTAATGAACTTAAAAAGACTTTTCCATTTGTCTTTTAATTTGACACAGATAAGGATCATAAGATTAGTTCCTCATAACAGGTGTAATTGAGATACATACTAACAAAACACAACAAAGGACTATGAAACTGATGCCAAATTAGTGTAAGGTAAAAAGTATGATGCTCCATAACTTGATAAGCAAATGGGTGTCACTGTGATGATGGGTGGGTCATGCCTGTCTGCATGACTGATAGCACCGCCCACTTCCCCTTGCAACTTGTCTCCACACATAGTTGGTTACTTGGTTACTTCTCATTCACCCAACAATAAATGTAGTAAGCCATTGGACTTTATGTTTATGGGTTTATCTAGGCCCATTTTTAGCTTTGCTCCTATATATATACATATATATATTTTCTATTCCCATTTCAGAATTAGAACACTTGTCAATAACAATGAATCTGGACCAAGTGCGACAAAAACTTGAAGTTACAGTACTTGTAGAAATCTTGTACATTAGATGAAACTTTTCTTTGTAATAGATAAAGAAATAAAGTTAAGTAACAATACTGTTAGAAGCAAGAAAGAAAGGGAAGGGTAGGTAGCATGAGACGAGGAAAATACATTTAAGAGGAGGTTAGGTAAGAAGAGTGGTGGAGGATGAAAAGAGTAGAAATAATTACACCACAGGGCAGTTTTAAGTTTATTTTTACATAATAGAGCAGTTTCTGCTACAAAGGCAGTTTATACTAACAGTTTTTCTCTTTTCGTTACTTTTCCTAAATTAGTTAGTCACTTAACAACTCTAACGTTAACTATTTGACTAACTAAAGAAAGTGTACTAACGAGAACTTACTCCCACCACACATCT